GGTGTTAACATTGTAATACAATGGTTTCATATAGAATATTCGTGGAAGGTTCAGTATTGTGGTGTTAACATTGTAACACTCCACGAATATTCTATATGAAACCATTAGGTTCAGTATTGTAGTGTTAACATTGTAACACAATGGTTTCATATAGAATATTCGTGGAAGGTTCAGTATTGTAGTGTTGAGGCCCTCAGCATCAATAGCTCTTCCTCTATCGCTAAATTAAGAGCCAAGTTTCGCATCGTTGATGGCATCGCTTCATAAAAAACTTAAAACCTGAAGGTCAGGAATCAGTATCAGTACTTTACCTTAACCCTAATGATTCATCATTAAGTAGAAATGTAATGCGCGTACCATAGAATTAGCACATTGAATCAGGTGCCTGGGGTTGTTGAGTGGCATCAAAATATTATCAGTTTCTTATATAATCACGTACAATTTTTTATTACGCACTTCACCAATTTCTTATATAAACATTGATTTTTATTATTCTCATGCTATATTTTAAAGATTTTCTAGCGTTTATTGATTTTTACCTTAAATGTTTCTGAAAGCGAGACTACATATACTTTAGTTTATAACTAGATGTACTTCCGCAGGGTTTCAAGAGTAAATAAAACCAAACTTAAGAGTAGCAAATATTTGTATTTCTTGCTTTTGAAGTTTACATGTCATGCTGTGTTGTAGCATACAGAATGAATAACTCTTCTCGTGATTCGCGCACGTTTTACTGACGTCACGACAGTACAAATTACAATGTTTAGCGTCCCTTATGTGACGTCATTTTAGTGTCTAATGACTGACTGACGGACAACACACTACTATATAGCGGTTCAAGCGGTTTATTTTTCACCTGCCCTCTTATTGAGTCGGATGCATGACCGAACACTTAGGACAGCAAAACCTTGTTACCGGGGTCAAGCGCTGCCCAGTGGTTAGCCTGCCGGACTGAGGATCCGTAGTTTGCATCCTGTTACTGGTTAGTCTTTAAGAACACGTGAAGAGCAACTGTAAAACTTGGAAACAATGATTCCACCAAGTGTGATTCCGTTTGACATACTTCAGGGTGCTTCACACTAAAATGTGTGATCGCCTTGTGTTTAGGACGCTCGACACGCAATCTGCGGGTCGCGGGATCGAACCTCTTTCAGCCGTGGGAGCATTATAAAGTGACGGTCATTCCCACTATTCGTAAATAAAGAGTAGCCCAAGTAGGTGGTTCTGACTGGCCGTCTTCCCTGTAGTGTATCGCTTGAAAATTAGGGACGACTAGCGCAGATAAGTCCTGGAGCAGCTTTGCACGAAATTCAACAAAACAAAAAGAAAAAAATCATGATCATTTGAGCTCGTGAGTATTCGTTAATAAAGAAGAAGAAACGATATTCTGTTCGATTAAACGAAAAACTCATTTAGAAATGTTATTACTCTATGTATGGCACTCCTACACAGTGCGAGATCAGATTCCGCAGGTAGGCCTTTCTTAGTCCGGGCGGGTGCGTGAGATTGTCTTCGATTCATGAAAGGGTTCATGAGGAAAAACAAGATCAGGGACCATTGTTCTAGGTTATTTATATCCTCGAGTTCTCCGCCTACAAGAACTTCCTTTTAAAACACAAACTTAAATTGAATTTTTTGAAAAATATACACGTGTTTTCTTTTACTTTGAGGGCTCTATAACGCTAGAGTTCGCGGTTCGATACCTGCAGTGGCCACAGCTTTGTACTTAAAAACTTTGTTCTCGTCCCTCACTTCAAAGTCACTCACCGAGAGAACAATTTACTTTCAAACTATGGAATAACACATTCAAACGGTGATGATTGGCTCTCAGAAAGTGCGCAGTCTCCGGTATGTACTGTGGGTTGACTGCTATGAACATGGTTATGGTGTACTTCTCCGGTCACTATGTGACTACCTTAACTTCGTAAGTGAAACACCATTTGTACCAAGACAAGACTAGCAGTAATGTGAGAAAATAACAACTAGAGAATCCGGACTGTGCATTCTAAGACTCGTGGTTCGTGTCCCGTTACCGGAAAACACATGCCTCATACTTTTGTGCGCTATAAGAGTAAAATCCTACCATCCAGTCAGGTGAGAGTAGTCCAAAAGTTGGCGGTGGATGCTGTTGATTAGCTGCCTTCGCTCTTGTCTATCAGTTCAGCATTAGTGATGACTATGTACAGATAGCCATTGTCCCTGTTCTGGCACTTCCATGTTAATTCATTCAATACGCACGTGCGTTCTAAATATGACGAGAAAAGGGGTTATTTTTTGCTGACTTGGAATTTATGTGAATTCAGAAAAAAAAAAGGCGTTTTTGTCAACACTGACCCTGTTAGGATAACAGCTAAGCTAACCCTTGTTTTACTTTTATTTTACCCTTTTTTTTCCCCCTGCTACTGTAAGTCTATGTTTTGACCTGATGCTACCCGGTTATTAGTTATTAATATCCTGAAGACTAATGTTCGTTCTCGGGTACTTGTTAAATTCTAATACGTGTCACTAGTATTTTTAACTTCATCTGAAATTATTAAGAGTTCGGAGAAGATATATATATGTAAACAGTCATAGCTGAGGGAAGATATATATGTAAACAGTCATAGCTGAGGGAAGATATATATGTAAACAGTCATAGCTGAGG